TAGATGTGATAGACTATAAACTGCAGCTAGTAGATAATGTGTATAGTGAATATATATAAATACTATAGTGAATATATACAAATACTATGTGTACAAATACCATATATATAAATACTGTGTATATAAATGCCATATATATAAATACAATACATATATATATATAAATACAATGTGTGCATAATATTGTGAATATAACTGTGTACATATATGTATATATACATATATATATAGTGTAAATGGACCATTTATTCCTACATATATTATATATACAGCATACCATATACATAATTCATATATACACATGTATTTGTATACCAGATAGGCAGATAGATATAGGTATAAACATATGTATAGGTACAGAGATATAGATACATAGATGTACAAATATACATACGTACATACATAATATAAAAAACATTTTAATGTGTTTGTATGGTTTACAGGTTTTGGTGAGAGAAAAGTGGGAGAGAGGGAATATGTGTGTCCTGGTTCCCTGGCCAGTGCAGAGCAGTGAAGAGGAAGAGGAGGGAGACACAGAGGAAAGGTACAGCAGGGAGGAAAAGAGAGAGAATACAAACTGCTCCAAGTTACAAACGCTCCCCTCTTTGATTAATTGTACTTTCTGTTTGATAAATGTTACTCATGAGTATAAAATATGCAAAGCACTTAGCAAGTTCACACTGTTTAAAGAACTCAACTAACTAAATTAAAATTCGATGATAGAACAGAGCTGCTGAGGAGCAGCGTGGCAGCGCTGTCTGGGGAGCCAGCCCTGGGCCATGGCCACGCCATCCTGCCGTGCATCCCTCCCTGGAAACCCAGCCGCAGCCTCATCCAGCCCAGGGACATGGGAGAGTTTGGTGAGGCCATGGGTGGGGATGGCTTGTGTGGTCCCCAGGGCCCTGGTTGGGTCCCTGTGGGCTGGTGAGGGGCTGGGAGGATTCCAGAGCATCCTCAGCCCCAGCCCTGGCATGGGGATGTTTGCTGGTTGGGGTGAGGCAGGGCTAAATTGCTTTAATTTCTAAGATCTAACCATTGCATCCAAGAAACCTGCTCCAGTCACACAGTGGCTCCAGTCTACCACCCAAACCCCAGACCAGGGGTTTTATGACACTGCTGAGCCCCAGTGCAGCCCCCCACAGTCCCACCACATCACCCTGGTGAGTGACACCTCCCTGCCCACTCTCAGTGCTGTATCCTTCCAGCCCATTGGAAAAAACAGCTCAGCCCCTCTTGGCTTTCCCAAAATGGCAGCTGAGCCCCCTCAGGTGACAGGGAGAGCCCTGGCATGGCAAGGCTGAGGGATCCAGTCCCTCTATGGGGGTCCTGCCAGGTTCTGTCTCTGCTGGGGGATGCAGCGAGCACTCTGGGGAGGATGAGGTGTGCCCTGGGAGGATGCAGAGGGAGGATGCAGTGTGGGCACCGAGCAGTGTCCCTGGCTCCCAGTGCATGGTATATTTGCACTGGCCACACTGCCCAGCTCTCTGCCCTGCCATCCTGGCTGAGCAGGGCTCGCTGGAGGCAGCTGGGCTTCCAAAGCAGCAGCAGCAGCTGTGTCAGGCAGGTAGCAGCTCCCTCCTGCCTGCAGTTGAGAGGAGAAAGAAAGAGGAAAACCTGGCCTGGATCTGGCCTAACTGAGCTCTTCCCTCTGATTCAACAACCCCACTGGAGAGGTTTAACTCGCTGGACAACCCACAGGACCCCAAGCCACCATCACTGTCTCACAGCACCTCACTGGAAACCTAAAATCATCCTAAAACAGCCTTAACAGTGATGGAGCTGCTTCAAGTTCATAATTTCTGTGATGCCAACAAAACCAGACAGAATGCTCGTGCTGGTGGGAAAAACTAGTCAAGTCTTTATGCCATGGGTTGTTTCTTCACCTCCTCATTCTCCTGCCAGCCCTCCAGCCAAGCCCAGCTCTCAGGGCAAGAAGATGCAGGAGGAAATGAGCAGGACAGAGGGATTTGACCAGGGGAAAGAGAATCCTTTTCTCCAAAGACTGAAGTCTTCACTAGCTGAAAGAATCCCACTGCGAGGCACGACCCTGCACCTCCGACGGGCAGAGCCTGAAATAACCCGCACTTTGCAAAACTTGCTGGGAGATTTGGGCAGGCAGGGACGAGCTGGTGTGGCACCACAAGGCGCTGCTGCGGAGCCAGCCCCGAGCCCAGCCCCGATCC